TGCTCAAAAATAGCGCAGAGAAGTTGCAATTATTAAGTAGTTTTACTTACATGGAAATAAATATTTGAGGAATACGAACTCGCAACCAATTTACCTCCAAATGACTTTTGCAGAATAAGGTTTTGAAATGAGTTCACTTAATGCCTTATATCCTGAATTTATTAATTTATTATTAAATTAAGTTCAGTCCTTTTGCATAAAATACGATTTATTTAAAAAAAACACTATCGTTTGCATGAAAATTTGCTATTCCTCATGCGACACCCTTGCAAGTTGCACTCAAATTATAAAGGGGGCGATTGGGGGTGTGTGTGTATCGAAACGTGGTCACGGGGGGGGGGCAGGGGGTGGTTCTAACTACCTGACCTCACTGTGAGCATGGTTAGGTTCTGACCTGAGGCATTTCTTGCGTTAACAGAGAAGACATTCACTTCTGTGAATTTAAGACATTCTCACGGTCGATAAGGTAATTGCATTAGACCTCGACCTCCCCCTTCCCCCCACCCCCACCCGGTTAGCACCCATGTATTTGAGTCTAATTGAAGTGCTGTAGCACCAAGCAAATTTGCTTTTTTTGAGTACTTTTTGAGTGGATTTCATGAATATTAAACGAGAAAATAATTGACTTTGTGTCAAATACCTGTTAATAAGAAGATTTTGACATGAAGAGGGTATGAAAAAAAGTGGGTTTAGGCAGAATCCATGTTAAAACATTTCATCATTCCACCAAAACTCTCAAGAGAGTTTCAACAACAAGACAATTGACTGAAGTGATCTGATGGAAATCATTTTATAGACCATGCGTTTACGAAAAAATGATAATTGAAGACAAATCATCTATTAAAGGTTGTGCCAGTGATAAGGAGTGACTGAAGATATGCGCATCTCTCAATTACGCATCGTTAATATCTATTTATTTCGAATGGTAGGCATTTTGGTAGTTATCATTAACCCTTTAGCTGACTTCGGGATTCATAGAGGGGAGGAGGAATATCAAAGTGAGAAAAAGTGGAGAGGGGACAGAGGATTGGTTCATAGATGTAAAAGAGGCAGACAGACACAATGGCAGGAAAAGGTGAGATGAGTGCTGTGGAAGTTGTGGAATATGACATACAGTGGGGTGACGATAGTTTTAAGTCAGAAGTCAGCTGCCGAATAATAGACTTTTTCGCCATTTGAGTATACGTTGCCCGGGGTTCACCACGTGAACGAGAGTCTATCGCACACCCCATGTACTTTATATAAAATGGTGCAGAAACTTGGAAAAGTTTTCTCTTGAGGCATAATTACTCGCGTTTCGCCCTGTTTTTGTGGTCTATTGCCCAGTTTAGTCAATCTAGGTTGTCTGTGCCTTAAGGAAATGCGATTTTATATCTTGCTAATTTAATACGCTTAAAGCACCTCCGATCGAGTTAAAACTTCGATGAGTATATGCTTAATATCCAACACCTTTGCCCATTTATACTCAACCCTTATCCGAGACTTAGCTAATTTCTCCTCTTTATCCGCTGAGACAAGTTTATACAGGCTATAATTACTCCACCAATCGGTTTATTCACTACTTTTTGCCTTCAAAGCCCTTAAACCAATGAAATTAAACGAAAAGATGCAATGAATTGAGAAAAACATTTATTGAAATTATGTATTCATGTAGATATAGAATTTTTGTGTTGAGAATATGAAAGGCTTAGGCAAGTAACAATTGACAAATATTATGAGAGAAGTCAGTTAGTTGGATAACATTATTATTAATGAACGCGATTTATAGTATCAAGCGCGTTGAGTAGAGATAGAGTTTGTACATTTTCACAGCCTTTTGATGCAATGTTGGGACACACACACGGTCAGTTTTCTTTGAAAGTCATTATTGATATGTCTGGGTCACAGGATCCAGAGGATGTTGGAAGGCATCCGTGCGGAACACGAACGTCTATCGGGCACAGCCGAATCACTTCGCTGCCACCGTTTTCTCCGCTCAAGTCCTCCGCTTTTATACGAATCGTTTGCGTGTGAAATCTTCGTCCTTGAGCGGTGCGGAGTGCACTCGGCTACTGGTGAGAATACGCAGGTGTGCATATCGATCGACACGCTTATGGCAATACCAGTTTTCAATTGGTCAATGTGGTGCTCAGGTAGAGTTTGTGTGATCAGAATTCCGCGTAGGTATTTGACACGTTGGCGACTTGTGATTGGTCAAGCCAAAGTTGCACACACGCACACACATAACTCTACGTTGACATTGAGGATAGCGTGTTACCTAATTCTGACCAAGAAATGGTTTCGAGATTCATGTAATTCGACTAAATCAATAGACTTAGACACACCATCCATTTGATCATAGTATCTACTGATTTGAGTTTTGGAGCAATTTCTGGTTACCAGAATTAGGGAAAAACTGTTTCACCACTCTGCATCTGCAATATAACGGAGTGCATGTTAGAATTCAATGATAATTTAAAATATTCCCAAATAGTAATTGGTCTATGTTTGCAAATAGTGCTCAATTTATTTTAAACTTCTATTTTCCAACAAAAAATGACACAATAATGCAATTTAACACAATTTGGTCTTTTGTTTATTTGAATGCCACCTTCTTTGCGATTAACTCTAAAAAATTTTAAAAAAGTGCTTTTTTCTGGTTTACGAGTTTCTCCACTTCCTCTTCCTAATAAGCGGAGTGTGCGATAGACTTACCTCCACGTGGTGCACTCTGGGCAACGTATACTCATACGGCAAAAAAGTCTATTAATCGGCAGTTGACTTCTCACTTCTAACTACCACGACCCCCCTGGTTGTCATATTCGACCCCTTCCACAGTACTCACCTTACCTCCCCACCCCTCGACTTTCTGCTACTTTAATGAACCTTCCCTCTGTGAACCCCGAAGTCAGCTAAATGGCTAATGATACCTATCAAAATGCCTGCCATTTGAAATAAATAAATCTTCCGTTTGTAAGTCGTTCAAGTTTCATCAAATTGTACAAGTGAATCCCCAAATATCGAAAATATTCCAGAACTCGGCTCATTTATAAGCCATCCTTACTAACCCCCTACCTAAGTCCATAAACGCACATTCGCTTTTGCTAACAGCTTATCAAAATTGCTGTGTTTATTTATATTTGATAGGTGAAATACTTACTCATAATTCCTCGGTATATTAGAAATAAAGGAATGGTTTAGAGCTATCTTTGGTTAGAAGTGTGGTGGATGGCTACACTAATAAGGCTTGTCTGTACTCAGTGACCTCTATGGCGGCTTCTCCGGTGTTTGGAAAGACTCCCGGAACTAGCTAAGCTACCCCAAAGATGTAAAGGAAACAAAAGTATCACGTGGAACACGGTTATTTGGAATGTGCATGTGTGTGGTGTCTGTACAGACAGGGACTTTAGTCATTATATAAATATGTCGTGTTTAACAAACCATCATTATATAAATATGTCGTGTTTAACAAACCAAGAACTCACGACCTCACTTACTCCCTACTCGAGGGGTGTGCGATAAACTTACCTCCACGTGGGGCACCCTGGGCAACTTATACTCATACGGCAAAAAGTTTATTATTCGGCAGTTGACTTCTCACTTCAAACTACCATGACCCCATATTCGACCCCTTTCACGGTACTCACCTCACCTTTTTCACTTTATCTTTGTGTATGTATGTTTTATTCGATCACTTTCACCTTTTCTCTGTCTTTGTGTCTGTCTGTCTCTTTCACATCTTTAAATCACTCTTCTGTCCCCCTTCTCCACACTTTTCCTCCTCCTCTCTGTGAAGCCCGAAGTCAGCTAAAGGGTTAATGATAAGTATCATAAAGCCCGCTATTTGAAATACATACTCCCTACTCGAAGTTATACTCCGCACAACCCTCCCCCCCCCAGCAGTCTGTCTGAGTACTCGTGAGATTACTTTATTCAGAGGTGATAACGTAGACTGTTCCACAGGAGCCATTCAAGTTCTGTAGCATATCTCCTCTTACTCCCTTTTCTAATACCAGGCAGTCAGTTTGGCCACTGACTGCGTATCGAGGGGTCTCAGTCCAGTAATGCAAAGTGAAGTCCATTTTTCACAAATGAAGACTGATTGGCATAAGGTTAAATGGAAAGCAAGTAACGAGAAATGATTTGCACTAATTCTATTTAAATAACAATAAAATTGTACCAATTACTATGCTCTCCAAAACTTTTCAGGGTTGCTTTCTATTAGTGTCAATTTGACTAGACTTGAATTGACCTGTTGAAGGTCACTATTTCTTCCAATCACTTTTCTCCACCCCTGCTGACTCCGCTATCCCTCTGAAAGCTCTCATGACCTGCATCTTCGTCTTTCATTCCCTCGTCTTTCTAGTAAATACATACTACTGAATATTTTTCCCATCCATTGCACCAACGTGTGATCGCAATCTGCAATTATTTGTCATGGTGACAAACTTCAGATATTGGTTTTGTTCACTGCTTTCACTTACACTTAAGTCTTAAAATGGAAAATATTGAAATTTTAAACGTGATGTTTCTTGGTAATACACTTTTTACAAGGCGAACTTTTGTTTGTAGAAATTAAAATTTACAATCTTTCTCAATTGGAGTATGTTGGAATTTGAAAGCAGTTTAAGTTTTTTTCAACTAGCAGATGTATGCGCAGAATTTTCGGCCAGATCAGGTCGGTATTGGCTAATGATTTGAATATTAAAAAAGGTTGTGAAATGATCTCTTTAATGCACAGTATAATCTACTGCCTAAAATTAAAATGTGCTCAAAATGATAACGTCAATTGAGCAGTTGATCCCTGAAGAATCCTCTCACTCCATACTATTAGCCTTAAAAAAACAACATTTCTACAAATATATATTGCAACTATGTCGGATGATTCGCACAAAACGAAAGCGCCAAGTTTTCACTTTTTCCTCATGATGGAAAGAGAAAGATTTACTCTCATATTTGCGTTCATTCCACTGTCACTTAGATGAGTAAGAGAGGTTGTGTTTTGCACTTCTTGTTTTCTCATGGTTGCAACTCCGGATTATGCGGGTGTGGAGCAGAAACAAGCTTGTACCACCTCGTCTTGCTCAAACCTGCCTGGAACTTACACATGTGTTATGCCAGGCTACCAAAGCAACCACTCCATGACCGATGACGATGTTTGTACACGTCGCTTACTCACCCACCAACGCATCGTCGTTGACGTCGCCGTCGTCTTCGTGAGAGGTGACCGCTACGCAAATAACGCAACATTTGCGGGGGGGGGCCAATTATGTGCTCCATCTTGCGCTAAAAATATTTGCTCTATAAAAAAAAGGCAAAGTATCAACTGAAATCTAGCATTAAGTTCCACTGTGGTTAAAACAGAGTCTCATTTATTACCATTAATATTTTTTATTATTTATTTATTTATATTAAATGACAGGCTTTATGACACTTATCATTCGTCCTTTAACTGACTCCAGTCTTCACAGATGGGAGAAACGGGAAAAGACACAAAAGTCGAGGGGTGAGGCGGAACAGAAGAGTGATTCATAGATTCATAAAAAAGACAGAGATAAAGGTAGAGAAAAAGGGTAAGGTGAGGTGAGTACTGTGAAACTGGTGGAATATGATATACAGTCGTGTCATGTTAGTTTGAAGTCAACTGCCGGTTTATAAACTATTTTTATCAAATGAGTATACGGTGTCCAGGGTGCCCCCACGTGAAGGTAAGTCTATGGCGCACGCCTTAGTAACTAAATAAGTCCACCTATGTTTCTTCCAATAATGTTGTACATTATGACCCTCTATCATTTGATGAAAATCCAGAAATTTATATTAATATGACTGGTATTTTAAAAAACGCTAAGATGAAAATTGGACTTCTGTTGCCCTGTTTATCGGACCTAGTAATGGTGTTTGTTTTTCTCTAAACAGACATGTTTGTTGCAAATATACTTATGATTTAGCACATTTTCAAGATAGTAAAGAAGAGTCATTCAGAGAACACCTCGAGGTGTGCATAAGGCTAGATTAGATGGACATGCTATTGTGAGCAAGTCTTCGCAACGTCTTGCTGTGCTTGGCTTTTCTAAATGGACTTCTTAATCGCAAATAACTACAGTGTGAAGAGAGTGAATGTGGTCTATCATAAGGTTAAGCTTCTGCGAAGTTTTGATGCAGTTTCTGAAATTAGCACAACTAGAGTAAAATATGAAAATTGAATTGATTCCGATGATAAGTAATTCCCATAACAATTAAACAAAGAACGGAATCAGAGTCGTAGTCACAAGCAGATAATAAGAATGAAAGATTTATTCAGTTTCAAATGGGTTTGCTACCTCCGTTCTCTTAACTTCCAAACAGACTACTAACCTATAAAAAGTAGTTAATATTATTGGTTACAATAAAGACCGGTATGTCAATACAATGGAAAAGGGTATTGCACTTATATCAATTATGCCAATGACCTTGCCAAATTTTATCAGTGCTTCAAGGTTTTGGTATAGATTGCGAATTCCGATAATTCATCCCAACTATCAAGAATGTTTTAGATGGAAAAGATGTAAACGGGAGGGTGTGAAAATGAATAGTTATGATCACATAGACCACTTAAAGGGACGATTACCTCTAGCATATGTAATCAAAAAATGGTCAAATATTAAAGATAATATTTTCTTGGTAAATATTCCGAGAGAAGCAAAATAAATTTATTTCTTCAAGAAAGTTTCCGCGATATTATTTTTTTAAAATATTTTAGTAATAAGCTGTCGGTCTTTTAATTATTGAATCAGTTAGCGTATTTGTGCTTCACTACACAATTAGAATATGAAAAACAGCAAATATAACTGAAATAAAAGCTATGTGTAATAATGATTTGCCAATTTTTATAATAGAGGCCATTATATTTCATCGTCACTTTACTAAGAAGTATTCGTCAAGCAGCCCACGTTTTAAAAGTAAAGATTGTCTCTATAAATTTAATATCGTGCAGTTTTCAACATCATGATTGGAACATAAGCGCAATTATAATAAATTAAGTATTACGCATTAACAATACTGGTATATCATACAAAACATTCAGAAGGAAACAAGCAAAATTCCGGTGAAACTCCAAAGATAAGAATCTAAATTGGAATAAAAAGTATTGAATTTATATGGGAATATTTTGCCTATTACCTACCAATATTTTAGTATTAATCATCACAATAGTAATCAAAATAAGAAATATAAAATTACCAAACGAAATACAGCTAATTAAAAAATCATTAAATGTTTATTATATAAATTAATTATCTAGAAGTAATTTGATTCACTTGGTTTATTCAGGCTCGAAAACTTGTTAGGCACAGTGGCGCGCATAATCACATTTGGCGATCTTGCGGTTGTAGTTAGGTTTGTTGGTAAAAGATTCCCCCCTCAGCCACGTATCGTTACGGAACAGTGTATATTCTAGTCTCCTGGTTGAAGTGCATGTTTAGTTAGCGTCTCCTATACAGTATGTACATTTTTCGTTTAGCTGTGTTCCATAGCTTAATTTGTTATATGTTTCTTTTTCTATGTTTATTTTATAAATGGTGCTAGGAACTGTGGTCATTTTTAACCAAATATTTGTCTGACAGAAGTACTACTATAATGATTTCCGACTGTCAACACAATTACGAAGGAGCTGAAAAACTCCTCGAAATCTGGTTCTTCGATGAAACCGGTAAATGTCCGGGTGATCTCGATCTTCGGCATATATCGAGGTATATCCTGATTTGGTATTATTCTAGCACTGTACCTTTTTAGGCATGACATCGAACTTGTCCTAGATCGTGCCTGCTGCTCCATTGTTAGAGAAAATAGCAATGAAAGGCAATTAAGCTTCGTGTTGAGGTGAGTTCTCTCTTTTTGTGATGTGACAACTTTTGTTTAGTGAAAGCAGTCTCTTCATTACAAATAATCGCATTATTCTCAAAACATGTGGTAATACACGGCTTCTGGAGACAGTAGAACCACTCATTAATCTTGCAAGGGGTCTCGGATTCGAGCATCACAGAGTACATATGCGATATACCCTCCTCACCTTTTATTATCTTCGCCATTGTATTATTTTTTTTCATTTCAGACTTATTATTCACATTGCTCTTTCCTATTCCCTGAGCAACAAGAAGAAGTGTATCAAGATTTCGAATCAGAAGTCAGTCGATGTTATTCATATAAGCCCTTAATTATATTGTTAGTTATTTCTATGTTTCTTATACTAGGTTGCTCGTCTTGACTTGGTCTATAAAGGTGGTACGTCTTTATCTTCTTGTAATCTATTCTCTAATACTTTTTAATATTTTCCTTTGCTTCCAGCTGGAGCAAAACGTATCTTCGGAAACTTGAGGAGCAATCGCTGGTAAGTACCTCGTCAAACGATTGCCCTTGAATTTTAACGCTAAAAATGTTTCTTTACCAATTTCAGGCATTTATATTGTGGCCAGTCAATCCCAAGCGCTCTGAAGGAGCCTTCCGGCCAAACCCTTCAGGTATGTCCATTGGAACTCGGTAGTATAGCCTCTGTATTTTTAATTTTGTCCCTTTAAATTCTTTTTTCTGGTATTTACCTTAATACATGCGATTATCACTTTTTATTCCGTGGATTCTCGCGCTAACATTCTTGACCTATTTAACTCCGAAGTAGGCAAAAGCTCTTTTCATGCCACCAAATCATCTATTGTTTGAGCAATTGCACAATGGGCCTTCGATTTCTTTGGTCTGTTATAGTGTAGCTTTTAGGTCTTGCTTTTGGCAAACGCCTGTCCATATCACGTTGGCATAAAACCCTACTCAATCGCTTAATTTTGATTGGTTGTGAGGACTCGCGTATTTTGCGATCGTGGTTATGATACACAATCTCGCTCTTACTACTCTCCCAATCACCCCATTGTAGTATAAACCCTAGTATCGTGTTTTCTGTAATAGCCTGGTCGGTTTCGTCTTCCTTTCATACAGGCAGTTTTAAAATATTCTCTATTGACGGGAGTTTTTTGTTTTGGATAGGTTTATTTTGAAGTTGGGCGCAGGCACAATAAATCATTTTCCTGGTTCCTTAAATGTATTGATGCTCAAAGTGAAACTTAAAGTTTCCTATTCTTTTTGAGACCTGTAAGCATAGTCGCTGACTCGATTTCGCTGTTTTTGACTTACGAACGTCCGGCGTTTATTTTTGCCCTTGCAGGACTAGTAGCAAAAAAATAAAGGTCAATTGGAGTTTATGGAATATTGGTTTTATCTTGGATTCGGTTTGTTCTTGAAACCGTTTTTCGAGTTACATTTTTGCAAATATAGTTTAAATGTGCTTAACGATCTGTGCAATTTTCACAGCTTATGATGAGAGGTCTCAGCCCAGCCAAAATGGAACCTTTCTACGCAATAAACTCGGGCTCCGCTGAGGAAGCTACCAGAGTAAGTGCCAGAATATGTACCCATTTCTTATTAACTTAATGTGAGAATTAATGAGCCTTTCTCCTCTTGCTATTTCTCTAGCTTTCAGGGATCTATAGTCTATTTCCTGGTGCAAACATAGCGGATTTCCTCTTCGAACCCTGTGGTTACTCGGTTAATGGAGTTATGAAAAGCGTAAGTCCGTGTTTTAGTTGCATCTGTGCGTTAGTAGTAGCTGTGTCGCTAGTAGTGGCCTTGACAAACCACCAATAAACAGCGAACTGTCATGTCCTGGTCACATAGTTGGCATTTTTCTCTATTATTGTTCGTGGAAATTACATATTTTGACACTCGGTTAAATTTCATGACTACGTATTTCCTAGACCATTGTTTATTGTTAAAAGATAAGGTGCAGTACTCAAATGACGAAGCGCTTATATTTGTTTCCGGGTAGGGGGTTATTTGTTCATCACACCCCGAAGGCGTGATGTGTGAGTTTAAAGAAATTAGTTGGGATGTCTCTGTTTTCTGGTGTGCGTTTGTTGTGTCTGTTTTTTGGAAACTCTGTCAGTATGACGAATGCTCTAATGTATGCTGAGATGGGCGATTTTTAAGTCACTTGGTCATGCATACTCGTGTCTCTTTTTCGGGCTCAAAATTCTTTATATTGTCTTTTATCTCTTAGCCCTACTGTTATTGTTTATTCGAATGCATCAGTTGAACTTCCGAGAATCGAAGTTTTATTTGGTGCATATTTCATTGGAATTTCAATACTATCACTTCCCAAATGTGCGATTGAGGGTCTGATGTTCTGTACGTTTTAGGCAGTGACAGATTTTTTGAAACGCTTTGGGATTTCAACCTTGCTCGTTAATGTTAGCTATGTGGTCCTGGTTTGTTTGTGCACTGATGACTCATCAGATCGATTTTCATAACGGGTAATCTATGATTATCCCCAATTAAACTATGAATTTCGTTCCAGGATGAATACTTTACAATTCATATTACTCCTGAGCCTGAATTCTCCTACGTGAGTGTGGAAACAAACGTGGCTATGGAGGATTACACAAACTTCATCTCGAGAGTTCTCGATATCTTCGGACCGAGTTCATTTATCTGCACTTTCATTTCTGATTCGGTAAGTTAGCAATACCTCCATCAAGCGAGCTACAATTGAAAGTTTAATTACTTGAGCTTTTATCTAGAATTCGAAGGCTCATGGGAATCATGAAGTTTTGAAGGAGGTCAAACTGCCCAACTTCCGAAGGATGGAAATTGGTGATTGGAACTTATTTGCAAGGAAGAAGGTGACCTACACGGCCTATGAAGTTGACAGTCATCGACGTCCCAATTCAAGCTTTGGTTCTGATGAAGAATCCCGTGCTTCGTCATTGGATTAAAACTCAATGGCGAAGTCAAAGATGTTTCTTCTTATTTGATTATATAGACTAGTTTCATATTTTTCAAAATATAGTTGTGTTTTTGTCAAGATTCTTGTTTATTTTAGTTGTGATCAATAAACCTTTTCCTTAAGATAATTCAAAGCGTGGACAGTCGGTATTAGTTGAAATTGAATGGAAGTAAAATTTGGTCTGGTCTGCAAATTTGGACTCCTCTAAATGTGAGTTGAGATCAGGGTGGGCTTTCATTTGATGTCTACGTTGAGGATTCCACTTACATGCGTTGTTTCGACCATTTGTCTTGCTTTTGGGTTCGAACTGAGAGGGAACCATTCTCGAAATCTTTTTCCCAACGATCTTTGCTTCCGCTTGTTGAATAGTGTGGTGTATATCGTTCTGACAATTCTCTGATTAATCGTCGAGCGAATTAATGCTTCATTAGATTAGCCATTATTGTATCTCTGCTTCGTCAAGACTTGCGTCTCGTCATACACCACCTTACGCTTACATGATGCCTGTTTTCACTTAACAGTTTAGATTTTGCATTTAGTTGGTGCACACTGAAATCCATTCCAATCTGCCAAGGGCGAACTGAATTCGAATTTCATTACTTGCCAACGTAGCTCATATTAGTGGTTGTTATTGGGACCCATTGTCTTCCTCTCATCTCTTGAGTCCTCTTCGTTCAAAACACAACGACTCACGTCACTCTTTCTGGTCTTTTTGGGACACAATTTTACTGCCTTTCACACTTGGTCGTAGTCCCAAATCCTACACACACGGGTTCTCAGTTTATTAGCTCATTTAAGTTAGAGGTCCATCAATTTGCTATCTCCAGAAATTGGCAATAACGTTCCGTTTTATCTATGATAGTACTTGACAGATTTATCTAATCTTTATTTGTAATCACCTCTGGAATCACAAATCGTGATTGTTCGGCACAAGTTTGTCGTCAAATCTTAGTGAGAATTGAAAGCTTCTTCCACTTGTTAAAGAAAAAGAGACTATTTCATCTATTTCAATTGAATGGGGACAATATGACAAAGAGTGAAATAAAATTTTTTTCCTTTTTACTCGCAGTCTTCAGATACTGAGTGTGGGCTTGGGGTCATTTGAGTGAAGTTTTGAAATATCTACCGTTAGACGTTCACATGCCAGACAAAATCTAGCCCAGATCTCTTATTTGTGCAGTGTCCACTACAAGGCGAAGAAAGTGTTGTGTACGCTTTTCTTCCAAAAAAACAGGCATAATTTGTGTTCAGTCTGGAGATGAAGTGGAGGCAGTAAGCAGCAAACTGTAGAATACTCTAAGGAGGGGGAGGTGGGAGGTGTAGGCGATGATTTGTGCCTTTAAAGGTGATCCCGATTCTCGATAGCCCCCAGTGGCAAGTATAATTGTTGGCGATCAAATGTCTCTTTAAAACGATAAAGATATAAACGGTAGGTTAAGAAGACCAGATATAAATCATTAAAAATTTTGGCCTTAATACCAATTAACTGCTTGGCAATTTTGTGGAGAATTTTTTTACGGAATAAATTCTAGGTGCCCACTAGGGAAAAAAGAGAAGCCGTCTTGTGAAATGCTAGAATAAAGCGTCCATTTTTTCAATTCTGCTGCACTTTTTGGCCACATTTTCTTCAGGCACACATTCTTTTTCCATTCACAAAGATTGAGTTTTGTTGCTTTCAAAAGGCAACTTGTGGAATTTCTTTCCCACCTTCTTGAATCGAATGCTGCTGTGCATCTAAAGTGCTGTAAAAGTGTGCCCTCGCACGCCTTTGTAGGGAGGTAAGAGAGAGAGAGAGACAGTGAAGTGTAAATTGCACTTTAGCTTTTTTCTGTCAGTGGTCTAGGCATTGACAGTCGTGCTATTTTTGGCGATCAGTTTGTGTCTCTAATTTAATTGTCATTAACAACATGCTCTTCCGGCGGTTAATGTGAAGTGCGAAGGCATGTCATACCATTCGAGTGCATCTGGAATCCAGTCCCATCTGATCTACCGCCCACACAAGAGGTGACAAAGTCAAACTTAATAATATTTATTATTTTCTTTGCCAACTGGAGTTAGTACAAAAAAAATTGACCGCATGGGGGAGGGGAATTGCATCAAATTAATGATTAATAAGCGAAATATTAATAAATAGGTGCTAAGTCGTGAAATAATTGTTTAGATTATTTGGGTAACTGGGGTATGCGATAGACGTACCTCCACGTGGTGCACCCTGGGCAACGTATACTCATAAGGCAAAAAAGTCTATTAACTGGTAGTTGACTTCTCACTTCAAACTACCATGACCCCATATTCGACCCCTTTCACGGTACTCACCTCACCTTTTTCACTTTACCTTTGTGTCTGTCTCTTTTACATCTTTGAAATACTCTTCTGTTCCCTCCCCCCCCCTCCCGACTTTTTTTCGCTTTGATGTTCCTACTTCTCTGTGAAGCGCAACACCAAATAATGTACATACTGAACCATTCCGACCT